AGTCTAAACTATCTTCTGCCTCAGAGATTCTGTCTTATGCTTCCTCCATTCTGCTTTCAAGGCCTTTTACTTTGCTATTTATTTCTCATCCTTCTTACTGGTCTTTCTTAATGCTGGCCAGCTCTTTATTGAAGTTTTCTCTTGTCTTGAATAGATTGCCTTACCTCCTAGAGTTGGTTTTTGGACTTGTCTTTCCACTCCTTTATCTGGGTTTCGATCTTTTCATCTTCTGCTGGAGTTCCTTTATATTTTTACTTGTGGAGACCATGAAGTCCTCTATTAGTTTCTGGTTGGCCTTGTCTCTTATAGCCCTATGCAGGATGTCCAACTTTTCATTCAGCAGATTTACTAGCCATGCTTTTAAAATATCTTGAGCATTAGTCTCTTGGTCATTCTGGGACTGCTCTATAGCTTGTTTATATAGAGATGAAGTTGGGGTAGTTGATTGGCCATGTTTCTTGTTTTCCTGTAGTTAGTTCTACATATTTTGTGACAAGAGCCACTCCAATATGACATTAGGACAGTTTTTTAAGGCAGGAGACAACTTAGTGTCATATAGATGTATAGAACTTAAGGTTTCAAAATTATGGGTTGTTGTTTCCCTATTTAGTTCTTTTTCTTTGCTTGGAGAGGGTTGTTGTGGTCCGGGGTAGAGTTTACATACAGTTGTAACTTGTGAGACAATCTGGGTTTGGCTGTAAAGTAGTCTGCACCTTAGGATTAACAAGATGGGTTCCTCGTACTCAGTCCAAATGGATCCAACTGCAAGTTGGGTCAGATATAATCCATTAGGGATAAATGGAGTGACGAAAATGGAAAATAGAAGGGTTAGGATTGGAGAGATATATGTTTATGTTAAGAAGAAAAATTGGGTATAGTGATAGTAGAGGGGTAAGAACAGCTTAGAGGAGAGCCTTGTTTCAGAGTGTAAGAGGTAGAAAAGAATTTGAAGTAACATTATATAGCAAATAGCTTAGCAATCTAGATGAAGATAAGAAAAGACATTATATATGTGTATATTTGGGAGTATTGCTTATATTAGAAAAAGTTTTATAGAAAGAGTATGGTAAAGTTGATTAATCTAAGATATTTCCTGTAATAATTATGCTTACATACATACATGTCTACATACTTTGTGTGTAGAACTAAACTGGTTAGCTCTGATGCAGTAGTAGTACAATGTAGAGAGAAACGAAGAGGAAGGAGTAAGAGGGAAAAAATAAAATTAGGAAATTGAAAAGTGGAAAAAGAACTAAATAATAATAGAGAAATAGAATATTTAGGTAATATACCAAACCCTAAAAACACAACAAAAACAACATAAGGAAACAAAAACAAACAACACACAATCAAACATAAAAAAAGTCTTTAAAAAATCTAAAGAGTAGTTTTTCAGCTTATTTGCAAGAGCCTGAGTATCCACATTGTCCTCTAAGCCAATTCCTGATAAAAACATTTATTCCTTGCAATAGTCCACTTTCCTTGTGGATTGGTGAGATCTATAGGGCCTTTGGAATTTTGAGGAGGAGTATATCTATATATTATTTGGGGATACGCATTTTACTATGAGTATATTTATTTAATATGCACATTATATTTTATGTTTATATTGTACATTACAATCTGTAATGATGCCTTTGTAATGTAGAGACAATGTGACGCTCATTAGTGAATAGGATTAGATAAGGTCATAAAATGAAAATCCTATGATAAAATCCTGGTGTTTTCTATGAGGAAAGAAAGAGACAAAAGAGATACACGTATACACATACATGAGATCCCTGTATCTCACAGTGGAATAAGTGCCAATGAGTGGCTGGTTGCCTTGGACCTGGAGACCATGAGCCAAATAAACATTTACTCATGAAGCTCACCTAATTTGCTGTATTACTAACAATAGAAAACAACGTAGGGCAACATAATTTTATCTCACTCATTTATAACACAATTATATTAAATAATTCCCAATGATGTTAAGTAATTCCTTACATACAGTATTTGTCCAATGTAAGTTAGAAACTCTAAAATACAACAAATTCTGTTTATGCACTCTTCACACCCTCTTTAATCACTCTTCTGTTGTTTCTTCTTTCTGAACTTGTAGAATTGCTCTTTTTAAATTATTTTATTTCTGCTTAGAACATGCCCAGAGATAGTTGTTGTCACATTTTGTTCCATAATACTTTAGTTTCTCCATTATTACTGAAAGAGATATTGTCTAGATATGTCAACTTTTTGTGGACAGTTATTTTAATTCTGGATAGAAAAAAAAGCCCACTATCAGTTCCCTCCACCTTCATCTCATTATTGGCATCTTTCAAATGTCTTTTCTCATTCAAGTTAAGATTATTTTGTCTTTTGTTGTTTTGTTTGATATTTGTGCCTCACAGGAAGTGTGGAAACATTAGTTATCAATCAAAGTCAAACAGGAGTAAAGTTGAACTTTCCCATCATGTTGTTTATATCTAGTGAGAAAGTTCTCCTGGCCTCTTTGGATATGAATTGGGATTAAGTGTACCATTGTGACTTTCTTGGTGACACCAGCATGATGGAGAAGACAATGATCATTTATCTCTTACAGAATTGGGTGAGCTATATAAATAGTGATTCTGCATTAGGGCCCTTAAAGTATTACCTCATCATGAGGGAACAGTGAGTGCTTCTTTATTTTGTGGCTGGGGTTTCTGGTATTTTGTGTAGTCACTGATATGAGTGAGTGAGTTATGTCTCATTGGTGAGAAATTTTATGGAAATTCGACACCGGGTGATTATTTTGAACTCTTATCACCAGGAATCCTCAAGAGGACTGGACTCTTTGTTACAATTTCTTATAATTAGGGTTCTAGAATATCTGTTCTAAATAGAGGTTAAATTTCATTTCTATTTTGTGTCTTTTTCATTATAGAAGAGTAATTGTGTAAAGGATTTTCATCTTGGAAGCTCTGCTGTTGCATATTTATGTCATGAGTGGATTCTTTGTGGGAACTTCCATTCATTTTTCTACCTTAAACCTACTGAGCATTTCGAGGTTGCTAGATTCTTTATCATTGTCTTCATGATATGAGACAAAAAGTACCAACGTCAGAAAATTCATCTTTGAGTTTCAGAAACCCAAGCCTTATCTTCGCTCTTCTACCTTTTACATTTAATGGTGAGATTTTTTTTATGTGTAGTTTTCATTGAGTTAATTTGATGAATGTAGAATGGGTAGAAATATAGTTATTCAACTCTTCAGAAATTCTAGTCCTATTGACACATTTGTTTGTTTGCTTATTGTGTACCGGTACTGAACCTGGAACTCAAAGCCATATGCTCTTGCTTAGATTTTTTTTTCTCAAGGCTGGGTACACTAGTATTTGAGTGCTATTACAACATAAACACTTTTGATAATTAATGGTAGATAAGAACATTTCATATTTATCGGCTTCAGCAAGCTTCAAACCTTGATCCTCAGATGTCAGCCTCCCGAGTAATGGATTATAAGTGTGAACCATCAACATGTGGCTTATTGAAGCAGTTCAAGGAAGGGCATGGTATGATTGGACTTCAGCTTTTTGGAGATGGATTATGCATGAAGACACAGTTATAATATATGCAAACAGATTAAAAGACAAGTGTTGACGTTCAGGATTTAGATTTTGACTCTACCATTAGAATAAGGATGAAAACTATACAAAGAGAGAAATTAATGTGGCATGTATTTATAATCAATTATTTGGCAAAATACTTCTCAATGCTTAGAAATGCAATGCTTATGCAGACACTAGAACTTTTTCTTATATATTAACTATTCCCAGTTTATGAAAATTTTGTTTTCATTTACAAGACTCTAATTCATATTTTAAGATGGAAAATTAAAATCAAAATGTAAAATAAGGAATATTACATGAAGAGAATATGCTGCAGTTAATTGGAAAATTGTAAGGTGAAGTCAGAAACATATTTAGAGAAGCAACTTTGAAGACTATACTCAAGTCATTTATGAATTATAGAGAATAAGGTGACAGAGTAAAAAACATTAGTGATGTCATACCCCTGATTACTCATAAAATTTGATGATGAATTTTAATTATCAAGTAATTTAAATATGTGCTTATTTGTATTTTTCTAATAAATATTAATGTTTTGTTCAGATAAAAATGTGGTGATGATAGAAAAATAATAGTGATGACAAATGCTTACTGCATCTCCTAAAACATGTGTGTGGATACTAAATAATTTGTATGAATATTTCCAATGGCAATTTAATGGTTAGCTTGGATGTTGATGGAATGACAGCTAGAGAGTACTAAGAGAAATATTCAAAATAACACTGTCTCAAAGTGTATATACTTAAAACCTATTCATCTACTGGTTTGGATGATTAAATTTTCTTTAATGAATTTTAAGGCTATGGAGAAAAGTAATATCAAAATTACATACAGTTTCTTACAATGAAGAATGTTTTATAATTTGAAAACTGTAAAATTGATATAGTATAATAAAAATCTTCCTTTAGCTTACTTTTAAAAAAGTAGTATTTTAACATCTGTACAAAATTGAATCTGTGTTCCAATTTTCGTAAAATACTATGTCATTCAAGTCAAGGAAACTTGGAAATACATTTTCCTTAATGTGTTTACTAAAATCATTAGTATCTTTATAATTTTGCCAAAGAGATTGTAATTTTTTATCACACTTATAAGCTCCTATGACAGTTCAATCCTAAAAAACAAAAGAAAGAATATTTCTAATACATAATAATAATTACCTTTTTTTCTTTTTTTCTTTCTTTTTTTTTTTGTTGGTGGTGGGGCTTGAACTCTGGGCCTGCACTTTCCCTGCATGCTCTTCAGCTCAAGGCATGCACTCTACTGCTTGAGCCAAGAACCACTTCTAGTTTTCTAGTGGTTTATTGAAGATAAGAGTCTCACACAGGCTGGCTGGCTTTGAACCATGACCCTCAGATCTCAGCCTCCTGAGGAGGTAGGATTACAGGCATGAGCCATCGGCTCCCTGCTAGATGGTTAGATACCACAAAGTAGGTGGCAATGCCTTTACCCTATGCTTGTTGGCAGGCCCGAGGGCCTCTTCCATCCTTGTCAAGGTGAGTGCTAACCTTCTCTCCTTTCATATAACACTAATTACCATTTTAAAAACAGGTACTTAACACATTTCCTACATTCCGTATTACATATTAACTGCTTTGACACTGAAGCCAGGAAAAATAAAAAAACAGAAAAGTGAACCTTTGTCAGATGGTGATACCATGAAGCTTAGTTCACTTTTCCAATACCAGCAGCTGCAGATCCATATGGTTGGCTCTGTACTATGGGTCTAAGAACACAGTCATAAGCTCTTTCACAAGTTGATCATGTAAATCAATATGCAGTGACATACAACTTTTTCAACAATGGAGGATACACCAAGTTTCATTTTTCAATAGTTTTCATATGCAGTCTCATATGCATTATTTTCATATGTATTATTTCATATGCATTATTTTCATTACCTTTAGCTGATGTTAAACTACTGTTTTCTGTGTTATGTGACAAAAGAAATTCTGAAGATACTATATATTTTTTTCAATTATCTGCATTAATTATAAGGGTGATTGTCTAAAAAGAGTGTGATCCAGTGAGGAGAGTCCTTTGAAAGAAGTATTATGATCCTCACATTGTTAAAATGCATTCTTCTTTTGGTCTTGAAAATATAAACTTCTCTGTGATAGAGTCTATTTAGCAGCTGGATGAGGTAACAAAGTTCTGAGGAATAAAAACAACAAAAAATCTTGTCTCAATCATCAATCATAACCAAAGGAATTCTACCAACAGCCATATAAGTTTGAAGAGAAAAGGGTGTGGAGGGGATGCAATAAAAATATCCAATGCAGCTGGGCACTGATGGCTCACACCTGTAATCCTAGCTATTCAGGAGGTTGAGATCTCAGGATCGCGGTTCAAAGCCAGCCAGAGCAGGAAAGTCCGTGAGAGTCTTATCTCCAATAAGCCACTAGAAAACCGGAAGTGGCACTGTGGCTCAAGTGGTAGAGCATGCACCTTGAGCTGAAGAGCTGAGGGACAGCGCCCAAGCCCAGAGTTCAAGCCCCTCGACCGACCACAAAAAAAAAAAAATATATATATATATATCCAAAGCATATCTCCACAAAATAAAGAAAAGTGAGGAAAGAAGTGAGTTGGGAGAGACGGACAAGAAGGTTGAAAGCGATGACATTGGCCATGATGCATTGTATGAATAAACTGCTGAACAAAGCAACTCCTTAAAGATAATAAAAATATATTTTAGTAAATAGAAATACAAAAAGGAGTTGCCAGGGCTGGGAAGGTGGCTCAGTGGTAGAGCGCTTGCCTTGCATGCATGAGGCCCTGGGTTCGATTCCTCAGCACCACATAAGCAAAATGAAAAAAGCCGGGAGTGGCGCTGTGGCTTAAGTGGTAGAGCGCTAGCCTTGAGCTGAAGAGCTGAGGGACAGCGCCCAGGCCCAGAGTTTAGGCCCCAAAACCGAGCAAAAAAAAAAACAAAAACAAAAAACAAAAAGGAGTTGCCAGAATTCCTGAATGTAGGGCACAATGTGGCTTTGCTTAATATCTCACGTCACAGAAAGTGGGAATAATAATGTTGATATGTTGATATTTAACTTTGTTAATTATATATAAACACAAAGTCAATACAAATTTCAACACCAGATTAATCTCCAGAACCTGTCTACAGAACCACTCTAGCCTTTGCCCATTAATTTTATTACAGTAATTATCAGATTACACTTACTGACTTAAATCACAGATTTCTATTTTTTAAAGACAATCAAATTACATTTAAAAGAATATATTGCACACACAAATGCCCTCTATATTTCCATGTGTGATGTATTCACTTTGTTCTGACAAATAAATAGTTTTAAAAAATCAGTTCCTACATTGTCCTCTGGGCTTGTCCTCTCAGATCTCCTTTTTCAACTTACTGATATTTTACTCACTAAGGCATACATATTTAATTGTGAAAAATTAACACTAAGAATTGAAAAGTAAACTAAATGTATTCTGTAATTCATATGGCAGTCAAATTTGCAAAGTATATTAATAAAAGTTGGAGTAATATACATCTATATATTAGCATTTGATGAGAGAAATTATTACTTAGTTGAATTTTATTTTGCTTTGTCTAGTAAATGACATAAAATATTTTATAACAAAAATACAATTTTAGATCTGACATTCATCATGTATGCTTATAAAAGTCATTCGATCACTATTTCATAAATGTTTTAACCAGACATGTATTGATTCTCTTTACAAGGTTGTGATTCTAGGGAACTCTTGTTACTTCAATAATATTTAATAGTTGCCTTTCTCTGAAATAGTTAACCTTTGTTTGACTGCATTTATTTGTAAGGATAGAGAAAACCCTTAGAACAAATCTATAACATCATTTGTTTTCACTTCTACATTCAAATTGTGAAAATTCAAACATCATGAAAAAGACACTTAGAATGTATTCTCCATATTGGGTTACTGATTGTATGCCTGAAAGGATGTGTTTTTTTTTAATATTGATGACTTAATAGTGTTTATTGAAATAAGTAAAACAGTTATGTAGTTCATAAAATGTGGTAATCTTGTTATGCATATTGGCCTTGAGTTACTTACAATATCCCTAAATCATAGGCTTCAACTTCAGTGCTAAGCTTAGACTTTTTGAAGCCACTTTTTACTCATGTCAAATGCCTCTTTCCACATCTACAGCTATCTTATTACAATCAACTAAGTACTTTCCTCTCCTGATTTCCTCAAGATCATGCTCCATTTTTTATAGCCCATTTTGAAGTCACATTTTGTTAAAGAGAGAAATAGCATATAGAAAAACAAACACTTTTATTTTCATAGTCTTTCTCTGAAAGTGTTGAAAATGACTGAACATGAAGACAAGCATGATTTTATTATTCTGTGGGACAGGGTTATCTTTGATTCTGTGTTTGAAAATAAATGTGATTTGGGGATTGGTTGTGAGGTGATATAAAATCATAAGCTTTGTAGAACATATATCTTATTTAAAGTCAATCATATACAATAGTTTAATGTCCTAGTGGTAAGTGAAACATTAACTATGCATTATTTAATGTTCAGGCATTTTGTATTCATGTATTTCTTTTCATGCTATTCTATAATCTTTTTGAAAGATATTTAACTTCCAAATTTTAGTGGTATATATATTCATGCAAACTATCTTAAATAACAGAACATATTGGCCTATGTGGAACACTAATAATGGCACTGGTTCCTGGCTTGTTTTGAATTTCTTCATTTGTTTATTTCATTTTTTTTGTCAGTCATGGGTTTGAACTCAGGGTCTGTTGACTTCAATCCTTAGCCATGGATAAAGAAAGATAGGTGGATACATGGAAATCATTCTTTAAAGCAGTCTGAAAAAAAATTCTCTAGACATACTTTGATTAGATCAGTTTAGGTAACATGTTCAACCTGATTAAATCAGATGTCCAGAAAGCATTATGCCAGGATGAGTATCAACATATATTATATGTTATATTTTTGTCCCTAGAGGGGATCCTGAGTCTCAGGAAATAGACAAAAAGAATGAGGGAAGATTGAAACGTCAAATGAAATTAAATTCCCATCACAGGACAAAAGAAAAAATGCATTCAGGGGAAGCAAATACACTTGTCCACTAAGAATGATTTTTGTGGGAAAAAAAGAAATTTCCAGGAGCATTTATTTATTACTGAAAATCCCAAGCTTTGTAACACATTTTTAACAACCAGAGGCATATGAATTAAACATTTCTTGTGTACTACTTTCTCTGTGTTAGTACTTTACCTCTTTGACTATTGCATGCCATCTGCAGGTGTTTTGCCCTGGGTTATAATAAGCATTGCTCAAAGACTGACTGTGTTCCAGTAGTTCAATGACAATCTTTCTTCGTTGCCCAATAGACAAAGGTGGATTTAATTCTTGCTCATAAATGTTTCAGGAACTTAGAACAAATAAATAGTAAAACGTGATTTTCAGTCTGTGTCAATTTTCTTTAATGTTACATTATTGAGCTTTTTCTCAGAAAGACTCCAGAACTGCACTTTTTTCTGGAATTTCTTTGTCAGAGCATTCACTGAGTCTGAAAAGCAGAACTGCAATGATGAAGTCAGATAATGACCTTCAATTCTACAGCCATTTGCTTCCACTTGTGCATTTAAATTTGTGGCAGAAATCTAAATGTTGAGCTTAATTGCCCTACTATGAAATACAGAGATTTATGAAAGGACGCTAACAGCCTGTCCCTCTGCCATCATTGAAAAGGCTCACTGGGTATTCAATATTAGGAAGAAAAAAAAGCATAAGTATAAAAGCAAAAATTACATTTAAATCAACATGGCAAAAGGTTTCCATGGCATAAAGAAAGATTAAGTCAAACAGTAGGGTTCTTTCAATTCTTGCCTTCAAAAATGGGCAAGATACAACATTCTTTATTTGTCAGACAAGTGACACAGTTAATATGTACTAATTGCCTGGGATTGGGCTCTCAGTTATGTCAGATAATTAAAACCTATTCTAATATATAGTGACCAAACCTACTGTGAGGTGGGTACCCGGAAAATAAAAGACACATACAGTGGGCTCCTCTTACTTGGAAAATGAAATCAATACTGATTTAGTTTTAGCAGAATTGAGTCATTTTGTCTTCAGTCTTTTTATCTGCAAGGCCCCCTGGCCATCAGTGTGGGAAAACATTCATGGAACGAATGCATTTAGCAAGAGTAATCATCATCATCGTGAAGTGCTTATCAGAAATGAAGACAAAATGCAATTAGGCTAGATTTACAGTTGGACCAATAATTACCACTCAGATGTTTCAGCTGAATGGAAAATACATGATTCCAAACCATGGCATTTGTGTTCGATTGCTTTCTCCTCCTTTCTCTGTGATCTCTAACCCCACTCTATTTTCTTTTCTTTCCTGATTTTTTTCATTTATAAAATATGTCAGTCATGATGTAGTGCAGCTGAATAATTGCATAGAGTCAAATGCTTGCAGATGGTTAATGGAAACAGAAAATTAAATGAACAGCAGTAAAGAAACTCATACAAAATTAAAGAATTCTATTGCAAAT